TGAAATCTTCTTTTTTCCCACCTGTAGCATGTCTCTGAGCTTCTTATCTATTTTTGTCTTATCTTGTATATGAAACATTAGTTGAGTTACAATTTACAAACACCTTATGGGGCATATTGGTAAGTATATCATACCAGGAAAAGTATTCTGCATACATCAGATATGATTTTTGCATTTTACTCCATTTTTACTAAAAGAAGAGTCAAAACAGTTTCTTTTTTCATAGAGTAAAAGGATTTTCATAAAACATTACGTAGGAAAATATTTCAGAACAGTATATAATTAGCTCCAACCTGAAGCACATTATTGTATATGCAGTGTTTTGAAAACTGAAAATTCTGAACAAAGTATAGCAGTATTTGTCCCTGTAAAGAACAGAGGGGGATTCTGCCTTTTTATTTTATGTATGCCTGTATTACTTGACCATCACTGATCATGAACTCCTTTTGTAATATTTGCTTATTAATTAAAATTGTTTTTAAAGTATGTTCAAGTAAAATACTAAAAATTTAATTTTATCCCGTTGAGCAACGTTTAGGCCCTCATATATCTTAGGCCCGTTAGGTTTTCATAGCAAATGCTCTCCTCAAGTTCCTGTGCTGAAGGCTTGGTGACCAACCTGTGGTGCTATTGGGAGGTAGGTAGAGCCTTCAAAGGGGGGCCGAGTGGGAGGAAGTGACGTCAGGGGAGCGCACTCTAACTTCCTGGCCACTATGAGGTAAATACTTTTCTCCACTATATACTCCCACCATGATGTTCTGCTTTGCAACAGGCCCAAACGCCATGACAAATGACCAAAAACTGAGACCTCCAAAATAAATCCTTCTTCCTTTAAGTTATTGATCTGCATGGTAATAGGACACTAACACAAGGCCTCTGTAACTAGAATTGTCTTTCTTTTTTATTTTATCTTATTTTCGTGTATTTAGTATAAGTCTATAGGGTCTCACTACACAGATCTGAGTCTTAGTGATCCTCCTATTTTGAGCCTTCCAAACACTGGGATTACAGGTGCACGCCACCACACCCAGTCTCAATCACCATCTCAGGGTGCCCCAGGGGCAGAGCCAGCACAGCAACCTGAGGACCAAACCCCAGTCCTTGTTGCTTCTCTGAGCTATCTGGCCGGCCCTTTAGAATTGTCTTTCTTAGACTGGGCATGTGGCACATGCCTGTAATCGCAGCGCTTGGGAGGCTGAAAACAGGAGGATCACTATGAGTCTCATCCGTGTAGTGAGACCCTGTAGACCCTGAACTAAATAGAATA